CAAAAAGCTTCCTTTTCCGCATTAGATAGTCTTGGCTCCAACGCTGAAAACTACCGCAGACTCAATCCCAAGTATGCAAGCCAAGGGCGGAGAGCAATGACCTCAGAGGGGCTCATGGACAGAGCGGATGTTTGGGGGCTGAAGTGAAAGACAAGAAGAGGTGTGATAGGGCCCCCATTTGGGGCTAGCGGTTCTCAAATGGGTGTGGCATAGAGAAGGAATCTGTGAGGCTCTAAAGATTCCTGGGGTAAGTGGGGTGGAGACAGGGGGCATTCGATTCAAGGAAAAAAGCTACGACTCTCCAGAAACTTGTTCCATCTCCTTTGTCTTAATGAGCTGTTCTCCTTTCAGGTATGAAAGATATTTAAGAGAGGTAGTGCTGCTAGACAGTAAGCCCAGGGGAGCCTGAGGCAGCTAGAGTGCAGAGAGTCAGACAGAACAGAGGCCACTGAGATCAGGGCACAGATGAGAGAAATCTGCCCTAGCCGGTTTGGTCAGTGAATAAAGCATCAGCCTGCCTGTGGACGGAAGGGTCCCAGGTTCAATTCTGGTCAAGGGGACATACCTCGGTTGCAAGCTCCATCCCTGACCCTGGTCAGAGCGTGTGCAAGAGGAAGCCAATGGATGTGTCTTTCTCACGTGGATGTTTCTCCCTGCCTCTCTGTCTCTCCCCCTCCCTTCCACTATCTCTAAAAAATCAATGAGAAAATATCCTCGGATGAGGAGTAACAAAAAGAAGGGGGGAACAAAGATGAGAGAAAGCTGTGCAGTCCTGTCTCTTCATCTGTGAAAAGGGAAGATTGTCTAGGAAATGCCACAGGTCCTTTCCCAGTATGAACCCTCCCAGTCCATAAAATGTCTAGTGATCAAAGATCTGACCTGGGATTTAAATATTCACATTAAGTATCCTTCACAGGCCGGGACTCCACCCCTCAATTGAGCAATCTCATCCACCACTCACTTCCTCCACGGGGCTCTCACCACCGCCACCCTTGCAGTCGGGCACATCTGCTCTTCGGAGGTGTCTTACAGGTGAAAAGCCCAGAACCATGGTAAGTCTTGGGACACTCAGCCCTCCCGCCATTCAGAATTGTCTCTGTTCTCCGTCTCCCTGGACACCAGCCTCCCGCTTATTCCAGGCATCTTTCCCTACTCTTAGTGGGTCTCACCGACACCCCTAGGTCTCTTTATTCTCTCTCTTTAGGCTACTCTGTCTTCAAAAAGAGGGTTTCTGCACCTTCCCCTACACCTCTCTCCAGCAACCACTTAGGACAACTCTGTTCCCATCCCCTCCCCTTCCCGACTCAGCCAACTCTCCCTCTTTGCTTTGCACAAAAGTGGTGTGAGAAAGGGCCAGACACTGTAGAGTCCCTCCTCCCATATATTAAATTTAAATATACGTGGATGATATTTATAGAGATAAAAAATACTGGAATTGTATTAAAATGACAGACTTTTGTTGTTGTTGTTGTTGTTGTTTAAAAGTTTGCTATAAATGTTTAGAATCTTATAAAGTCCTCATTCTATAGCATTCTCATGAAATAAGCTAGAATCATCCCATTCATGTTATTTCTGAACTACCGCGAGTCATTAAGGAGATGGCAATTTTGTTGAAAGAGAATCTCCTGCTGGGAATCCAAGAACATGAGTGAGTGATCAGGATGGGCCAGCCAGTTCTAGGGGGTTTGGTTTATCATTCCTAAAAGGGCTGTTTCTTTCATTCTGGGCGTCAGGAATAGCAAAGAAAGCAATGTACAGACATCAAATGATGGGAGTGAACTATATACAGGTTGGCTAATATCTCAAGAATTTAACTTGCAAATATATTTAATATATGACCTATGATTTTTGTATTGTTGTTGTCAAATTATCCTGTGAGTTCTTAACTAGCTGGGTATTCTATCGTACATACTACAATTGATGTTATCTATTATGTATAAGGGTAATGGCCATCAACATGGCAGCCCACAGACTGGGCAGTCCCAGGATCTCTTTCATGGTTCCAGAGAGTTCTCTAGCTAAAGATTGGCGCCATATCTGTCAGGCAATATTGACAATCTCCTCCAAAGTAATATTTCCATCGTGTGGATGTTTTTCTGTTTCCGTCTCTTGGAGGTTCCTAGAGGGCTTTGGTGGTCAAGGCAGAGGCAGAGCTACCACTTCAAGCTGAGTCTGTCTGTTCTGAATGGTCAGTTACAATGTTATCCTCAAGCCCTTCCAATCACCTGTTGCCTTGGCAATGTCATCACCAATCTTTTTGGGAGACAGATCCAAGGAGCTGACCTGGGGTGGAGGGCAGATATGGCACCCACTCTCAGATACAGAACTTTGATCTCATGGAGGTAGAACTTAGGGGACATGGTGGAGTGGGGGATGGTATTGGAAGAATCTGGATTTGGGATGAATGAAGAAAGTTGCATTTGGCTTCCTCTGATCCTAAAGGTGTGAATTTTATTTATTTATTTATTTATTTGTTTTTATTTTTTTAGAAACAGGTCTGCAGGCTGAAAATGTGGAGGGGCCATTTGCACCTAGTTGGAATTCTGGCTGTAAGACTTCTAGGCTCTGGGACCACAGGCTGGTCTCTGAGCCTCATTGTGTCTGTCTTCTCATGGTTAAACAGGGGCTTAATCATATCTATTTGTAACAATCAAAAGAGATCATATAGGCACAAAGTAGATCTCAAGTATCATCTTCCTATCTTCCTTTCCTTAGTTTCTCCCTTTAACAGCCAAAACATCACCTCTAGGGATTGGTTACAAAACAAACAAACAACAAAACATTCTCTCCACACGCCCCCCACTCCTCCCCACCCCCACACCTGGCCAGTGGCTGGAGGTCATGGCCCTCGGCGGGTGGCCTGGTTCTCCTTTCTGAATTCTCTACTTCTGTCCTGACTTGCATGGGAGTGGAGCTCACCCACATACCTGCAATCTGGCCCCAGCATAGTCGAGCACCGGACTCTTCTAGAATGAGGGTTCACCTTATAACAGCACAACCAAGGAGTCCAGGCTGCCTGTCACTACTTCAGCCAATTAAGCAGAGACAGGGTTGAATCATATGAGTGTTTATTCCAATAATGCCAGCAGTATGGGAGAGCGGCAGGTCATCCACAAAAATCTGCTCTGTACCCCATCATAAGTCAGCTGCTTATATTGGATAGTGGGACAAAGATTACGTGGGGATGTAGGAACTACAGGCATGGAAAGTAGGCATAGAACAGTCATTACAGGTTACAAGTCGTGCGGGCTGGGGCAGGGATTGCAGGGGAGTGGGTGCCTCCGGGCATCCCAGGACCAGCTTACAGGTAATAGGGGTAAGGGTTGTAAACAACAGGCAACTCTTGGATTAGATTGTTTCAGCCAGGAGGCTGTAATCTTTCTGTAATGATAGGCAGTTCTTGGGAAAGGAAGATGGACTACATTCCAACATCAGCTCCCGTGTCCCCAGGTGCACAACTCTCAGCAAGGTTAGAACATGCTCTCTCTGATATTTTGCTGCCTATGGATTCTTCTAAGATTTTTATGATCTTACGTTTAAGGTTTTTTGGGGTTTTTTTTATCCATTTTGAGTTTATTTTTGTGTGTGGTGTAAGTTTGTGGTCCAGTTTTTTGTGTTTTTTTTTTGCATGTATCTGTCCAATTTTCCCAACACCATTTATTGAAGAGACTGTCAATATGCTCTTGCCTCCTTTGTCAAATATTAATTGATTTCTGGGTTCTCTGTTCTATTCCATTGGTCTATATGTCTGTTCTTGTGCCAGTACCAGGCAGTTTTGAGAACAGTGGCTTTGTAAGATAGCATGATATCTGGTATTGTGATCCCTCCAACTTTGTTCTTTCTCATGATTGCTGCAGCTATTCAGGGTCTTTTTTTTATTCCATATAAATTTTTGGAGAGTTTGTTCTAGGTCTATGAAATATGCCGTTGGGATTTTAGAATGTGCTTTCTCTAATCAGAACAGAACCCTCATGGTTAGCAGAGCATGATTAATATTTCTTAAAAGTGTAGCTGGTCCCCAATATTCTATTTCTGCCCCTAACAATCAATGAAGCATGTTTGCCTGCTGCTGCCTCTTCTCATAGGGAAGTTTCTGCAGCTGCCCCAGCCCAGCCTTCTCACAGCTGATGTGCATAGATGTGGGGTTCCTCTCTCTGCAGGCACAAACTCTCTGCACCCACCAATGGTCATCCTCTTTCAATGGTGGGTCTTCTTCTATGCCATGTGTTCCCTTAAGCACATCTCTGATCATCTCTCATAGAGGTGAGTCACCCTTGACCTCATAAGCAAACTGGACTTATCCCTGGGGCTCTGAGCAAACTTGCTTTTGATCAAGAGACTACAGAGCCAGTGATTTCTCTCAAGTCTTGCTGGCAACACTGGCCAAACCAGCTCTATTATCTGCCTCTTTCCCCCTACCACCCTATGTGCTGGCCAAACAAGGACACATCCTTATCGTCACATCTTTCTACATTCATGGACTGATTGAATCTGCTCTGTCTGTGATCTCCATGTGCTGAGAAGGCCATTTATCTGGCTCCTATCAATTAGGGGAGAAAGTAATAGCTTCTCGGAAAGGTACAGACTAAGAATTCCATCCCTCTAGGAGAAAGGGGCATTATTTTTCCAATTTCTCTTAACATCACTAAGCTTTCTTCTTTGCTACAAGTGATTGGCAATAACAGGCTTTCTTCTGCTAAAGCAAAAAACTTCCTAGGAGTTTTGGTGTTGATGACGTTGTTTTAATATTTGCATTTGCTTTGTAAGGCTATACATCTTTGGTTAATCTTTTTTAAATTGAGATATAATTCACGTACTATGAAAGTCACCCATTTAGAGGGTACTACACAGTAATTTTCATACATGCACAGTTATACAACCATCACCACTATCTGATTCCAGAACACTTTCATCACCCTGAAAAGAAATCCTGTACTTTATTATTATTATTATTATTATTATTATAAATTTGGTATTTTTATGGTGGACAGTCATCATTTAAAAATACGGAACGCTTCACGAATGTGCGTGTCACTCTTGCGCAGGGGCCATGCTAATCTTCTCTGTATTGTTCCAACCTCAGTATATGTGCTGCCGCAGCGAACACAATCCTGGACTTATTAACATCCTGCCTGTCCCGACACCCCCATCATCCCTGGCAACCACTAATGTACTTTCTGTCTGTACTGGTTTGCCTGGTCTGAATGTTTCACATACACGGAATCATAGTCTAAAGTTTTGTGTGTGGCTTTTTTTCACTTGTAATAGCTTATAGCTCATAGCAATACTGTTTTCCAAGGTTTATCCGTATTGTAGCGTGTATCAGAATTTCCTTCCTTTTTATGGTTGAATGATATTCCATATTTATCTATTTATCAGCTAATGGACACTTAGATTGTTTCTACTTTTTGGCTTTGAAACAGCTGCCATGAACACCCATGTACAGGTTTTTGTGTGGACAGAAGTTTTCATTTCTCTTGGGAGTGGAATTGCTGGGTCATATGCTGACTCTATGTTTAACTTTTGAACAACTGACACCTGTTTTCCAAAGTAGCTGCACTATTTCACATTCCCACCAGCAATGTATGAGGAGCCCAATTTCTCCACATCTTCTTCAACATTATTATCGTTCATCTTTTTATTATTATTATTATTATTATTATTAGCATCCTAGTGAGTGTGAAGCAATTCCTAAGACTTTTATTTTATGTTTTTGTCTTTAATGCTGAGTTCCATTTGGAGGAGGGTTACAGACTTGCATGTGGGCCCAGGATGCTCATAGCTTATAATAAAGAAATGGCACAATGGTGATGTATTTTGCGGTCCAAAAGAAAGTCAATGAAGTAGCTGGTTTACTTTAGGCCATTGCCTCTTTGAAAACTGGGATATTTTAAAGAGGCTGTAGCTTCCCCCAGAAGCAAGCTCTCCACTGATCCTGTAACAAGGGCAGAATCCACAGAGATGGGTTTATCTGGGTGTGCTGGGGAGTTAGGAATGGGTGAAGGTATGCACTGGCAGGACAAGAAGGTCCCACCAGGATGGGGAAGCCACCAAAACAAGGATAGTATGTGTCCACCTGCCATCTCTGCTTCTCGCTTCCCCTTCTCCTTATTCTGGGAGCACCTGGCTTTCTCTGGCCCCTTGCATGACAGAATAGGGCTGTCCAGAGCTCCCATGATAATCTGTTACATTCCCACCTATTTGGAGAATCAGTCAGTCAACCACCTGCTTATGATTTTTAATATGTTTTTTCAAACTATACAAATATGCTCAGAGACCGACCTCCTGCCTCCCAAAAGAACAATGCTGGAACATGCTAATTGAGTAAACTTTCTTCTAGCTCAAGGATCCCAAAACACTATGCTGCTACCACTCAGTTTTTCTAGAACATTCTTTTTAAAATAACTTACAGAAAGTTGGACAAAGGGATTAGTCTCAAAGTTCATAATTAAACTCAATTGGATTGCATGCTTCATCCCCCACATTGAAAACTGAATGGCACCGAACGTTTCTGACATTAAACTCAGTCTCCACAGTCAGGGATGCTCACCACTGAGATATCCAAGAAAACAAGCTTGGTAGATATTATTGAAAGGAAAGTTTCCACAGTGATTTGAGTGATGGCAATGTCATGAAAAGTGTTAAGAACCTCTCTCTGCCTTTAAAGGGAACTATACTCTTTTCATGAAACATACTACTTATAACTAAATGTGCCTCAGATTGTTAGAGGTTAGTGTCCCAACTATTTTCCTGAAGTGAAATTTACTTTCATTTAATATGCAAGTCAGTGCAAAGAATCCTATCTGGGGGGACTTTATTGTGCAGTAACACCCATCTCTCTTCTCTAGCCCAAAATTGTGGAGCTCCTAAATTTGCAAGATCTTATGGAAAATTATACCTGGGAATACAATTTCAGTGACATCGCTGACATGACCTTTGACCCAAACACTTTCGTATGTCAGTCAGAAAATCTGGATATCAACAGCTTTGCTCTATTAGCCATCTATGTCCTGGTCTTCTTGCTGAGCCTGCTGGGAAACTCCCTGGTGATGCTGGTTGTCTTATATAGCAAGGTCAGCCGCTCTGTCACTGACATCTACCTGCTGAACCTGGCTATCGCCGACCTGCTCTTCGCCCTGACATTGCCTATCTGGGCTGCCGCCAAGACAATGGGCTGGATCTTCGGCACACCCCTGTGCAAGGTGGTCTCACTCCTGAAGGAAGTCAACTTCTACAGTGGAATTCTACTACTGGCCTGCATTAGCGTGGACCGCTACCTGGCCATTGTTCATGCCACACGCACTCTGACGCTGAAGCGGCACTGGGTCAAGTTCATATGCTTGGGCATCTGGGCCCTATCTCTGATCCTGGCCCTGCCCATCTTCATCTTCTACAGAGTCGTCTACCCACCTTATTCCGCCCCAGTCTGCTACCTGGACGTGGGTGCCAATACAACCAAATGGCGCATGGTGATGCGGGCCCTGCCCCAGACCATTGGCTTCCTCCTGCCGCTGCTGGTCATGCTGATCTTCTATGGGCTCACCCTGCGCACACTGTTCCAGGCCCACATGGGGCAGAAGCACCGGGCCATGCGGGTCATCTTTGCTGTCGTGCTCGTCTTCCTGCTCTGCTGGCTGCCCTTCAATCTGGTCCTGTTGTCAGACACCCTGATGAGGCTGGGAGTGATCAAGGAGACCTGTGCTCGCCGAAATGAAATTGGCCGAGCCCTGGATGCCACCGAGATTCTGGGCTTCCTCCACAGCTGCCTCAATCCCCTCATCTACGCCTTCATTGGTCAGAAGTTTCGCCATGGACTCCTCAAGATCATGGCCATCCATGGCCTGATCAGCAAGGAGTACCTGGCCAAGGAGAGCAGGCCTTCCTTCGTTGGCTCTTCTTCAGGGAACACTTCTACTACCCTCTAAGACCCCCACTGCTATTGTAGCCGCACTCCCATCAGCACCCAAGCCTCATGACTATAGTCCACTGCCTATTCACAGTGTCTGTGTCAAGACAGCCTCACATTGTGGTCACAGAAAGTTGCTGAGGCTATGACGATCCCAGGCCCCCTGATCTGGTTCAGAAAGCCTGCCCTGGATCCCCACCCCTTACTGTAGTTATATAGGCCAGGATCAGAGAGAGGGCCCAGATGCCTAAGCACATATACTGCTAGAGCTCTGTCCATCCTACCACTGAGCCCATAGTGTTGAGCCCGGTAAATTCTGGAATCCACAGACCACCAGGGAGCCGAGTCCGATGCAAAGGCAGAAAGTCTTTATTAATTCTACCCCTGCCTAGGGTCCGAGCCGGGGCACCAGCGCAGTGGCACTCGCTCGTTCCAAACTCGAACCCCGCTCCAAACTTCTTTCCCAAGTTTTATACTCTAGCCCAGCTATGCAGGCAAGCACCCTTTGCCCTCCCCCACCTCCCTGCTCCCTTGCGTAAGTCCTCTTTTGCCGTTGCGGCATCTCCGGGGTGGTCGGGTGGTCAGTTGGCCATCTCCCATAATTACAGGTAAGACCGGTCTGTTCCCGGGAGGTGCGTTCCACTACGGTCAGCTCAGTTCCCGGGAGGAGCATTCCACAGCGGTCAGGTCGGTCGGTGAGATGAGTATCATGAGATGTTGTACCTAAAGGATGAAAACCTCCCTCGGGACCTAGCCTTGCTTTAATGTTTACCATAAAATGTTGCATTCTGGCTTTACTCAACCTTACATTTATTGCTGTATTCTGTTTTTCTCAACCTTACAATAGCACTCTGTCCTCTGAGACATTTCAAAGACATCATTTTAAGTAAGTTCCAAGAGTTCCCATCCTTTTGGCTCCCCAGTAGTGACAAACACCATAGTTGCTTCCCTAACTCCCACTTTGCTGGCTTCCAAGCAAAGTCTGTTTCTCTTAAAAGAGGCCAAAAATGACAGATACTCACTTACATGACTTCCCTAAGCTAGGAGTGGCCACATTGTCCAATTATGGGTAGAAAGACTTATAGGCAAGACTGTGCTAGTAAACTAGTCTCCTGGCAGGGGTAAGGGGGGCGCAAAGAGGGGAGTCCTGGTTTGTAGTGTTTGCCAAGTCTCCTGTTTTAAATGTCCCCACCATGGCCATTTCAACAACCAGCTCACAGATTTCTAGAAAATGTAATCATCTGTTTCCACAAGCAGGTACAAACTGGCTTCAGCAAAAACATTGTTAAAAGGAGTCTGCTGGGGCCAGGGACTCGTGAGAAATAATCCTGATTAAAAAAGGAGAGATGCACACACTTACACATCCTTGGATCTTGCCTTGGAGTAAGGTTATAGGATATGGTATGTGGCACTGAGGTGCCAATTGTGTGACAATGAGGCAAAAAGCCTAACACACGTAAGCTGAGGGAGCCAAAGGATAAAAGAACCTGAAAATCAAGAGCCCACAAATAAACCTAAGCAAGCATAATAATATAACTGGCCCCTTACCTTATACCAGATATAAAAATTAACTCAAAATAGATCGAAGACCTAAACATAAGAACTAAAACTCTACAAATCTCATAAGAAAACAAAGGGGTAAAAGCTTTAAGACATTGGATTTGGGCAATGATTTCTTAGATATGACACCAAAAATATAGGCAACAAAAGAGAAAACAATTAAGTTGGTCTTTATCAAAGTTAAAAACTTTTGTGCATCCAAGGATACTCTCAACAGAGTAAAAAAGCAAACCACAGAACCAAAGAAAATATTGGCAAATTATATAACTTGTGAGGGGTTAATATCCAGAATATATAAAGAATTGCTTCAGCCAAAACCGATTTGGCTCAGTGGATGAAGCGTCTGCCTACGGACTGAAAGGTCCTGGGTTTGATTCCGGTCTAGGGCATATACCTTGGTTGCGGGCACATCCCCATTGGGGATGTGCAGGAGGCTGCTGATCAATGTATCTCTCTCCTTGATGTTTCTAACTATCTCTCTCCCTTCCTCTCTGTAAAAAAAATAAATAAAATATATTAAAAAAAAAAAAAAAGAATTGCTACAACTCAACAGCAAAAATAAAATGACACTTAAAAATGGGCAAAGGATTTAGAGGACATAAATTTCTCCAAAGAACACATACAAATAGCTATGGAAATGT